TATTTATCGCGATATTGAAAAATAAAGAAAAAAAATGTGAATTTCTTTTTTTTCTTTTTTTTTTACTTGAATTTTTTTTCTCTTTATTAAATAATAAATCTGATTTGTAAAGCATTTTAGTCGGATAGTAGTATTTTAAAGTGTCAACAATATAATAATCAGACCCTGCAAAGTGGGAGCAGACGACGCAGANAGTTTTAACCGGTTACCTTGGCGACACACTTGACCTCACATTGACTATATACAGTATTGATTGTCCTTCCTCCTTATCTTCTAACCATTTGGACGCAGACTTGCATTTCCCCATAACGATGTTGCTTAGCAACCGGCGTAAACGAAGCTTCGCGCGCTATCAAGCAGTGATTGTGCGATGTCCTGTTCAGATGACGTCTAATCCAACGGGATGCCATAAATAAACTACACAGAATCACACTACACACCTACGCAATGATTACATTCAGGCAGACTGTAGAATACAACCTCTTTGGACAATTTATATACTTATTGAAAACAAGCTACAAAATGTAGTACCTTGGAAAATGCCGTTTAATACTTTTTAATAGCCTTCATTTTCGCTAAATTGATTTATCAACTTTTAATACTTTTTAAGACCCCGCGGTCACCCTGTATTTATATGTACATTTTAGTGATAAAAAAAATACATCCTATGTTGTAAAAGAGTTACCATAAAGACTGGAAGTGGTGAGCAAGGCTCGAGCTTTGTCCGCCAGATCGCTGTTGAGTGTGGAGCCCAGCCTCAGGATGTCTATGGCCTCCTGCTTAGAGCTGTCGAAGAAGTTGTTCTGGATGGTCCTCGTCACAGAACGAGCGCCATCTTTTAGCTTTCCAACCTACGAACAGACACACACAAAAAACACCCAGATTATTACCTCCACTCTTACTCAGTGTGAGAAATAGTCTGTAGTTCACACACCAACCACGGAAGAGAAGAAAAGCAGGAACACATCAGAGAGATCCGAGTAATATAGATTTATGAACTGACCAGGAAGGATCAAAACTTCGAGGGAAGGTTTTTCTGATTGATGTGATTTGATTTAATGCCACATGGTGATCATTTTAATTGGTTTGTCTTTGTTCATCCAATAGAAACAGATAATGTAGGCAACAGGAAACAATGTTGCAGTAAGATCACTCAACACGTGAGGGCACCATATCAATCTCCTTTGTTTTCTTTTTAACTTGATTTCTGTGGATCAGTAGAGGTCTGTCTCCTTGGAGATTTCAAAGTTGCCAGGTCAAGACAGTATACATAACACGGAGGGACACATAATCAAGTTAAAAATAAATAAATAACCCCACCTATCCCATCCTCCATCATCATATAACCCACAGACACTGAAATCAATAATGCACCAGAAATAGACCGACGGTTAAAATACAACATGGACTGGCTTGTTAACTTACCACAGAGGTAGAGAGGTCCAGAGGAGAGCAGAAAGAGACAGCACACAAGAGTTAAGAAACTGAAGCACACAGTTCTACAAACAGAGGATCAACGCTGTCACTGCATGCACCGTAGCACACAACTAGACATTATTTAAAGTGCTATTTATGGTTTAAGATCAAAGTTAGAAGGTAACCCCCTTTGTTCGGTCAATCTGAAGAGAATTCCACTTTACAGCTCAGAGCCATTTCTTGTGATCTTCCCTCAAGCTACAACGTTAGCTACATTAGCAGACCATAACTAGACTATGTATTTAGTAAATAATTCTCATGCAGTGCTTTATTTCTCCAAGCAGTATCAACAACTGAAAGGACGGTGTTACTAGGGATGTAACGATACCAAAAACTCACGGTACGATAATATCGCGATAAAAAGTCCACGGTACGATATTTATCGCGATATTGAAAAATAAAGAAAAAAATGTGAATTTCTTTTTTTTTTTACTTGAATTTTTTTTTCTTTATTAAATAATAAATCTGATTTGTAAAGGATTTTAGTAGGATAGTAGTATTTTAAAGTTAGACCCTCCAGAAAAACGCGATTCTGCGATCGCAGAATTTACCGCATAATCAGCAAAATGGCGCAGATTTTTAAAAGGTCCGCATATTTATCAAAAGGCCGCATAATCCCCGCATTTTTCCACACAAAGTTGAGAAAAAAAAAAGTTAACTCGTCTTGATGTGACGTCATCAGCTCGCACATCACAGAATGTAAACAACACTGTATAGAGTGAACGTGTGGAGCTCACACGATAGAGAAAACACCAAGATGAAAAAATCTAATCCATCTCATTTACCGACGAACATTTCTACTAAAGACCGGGCAAAAAGTGGGGGGAAACTATTCTGCACCCCTTGCAACTGTTGTGTTGGTGTAGCATTTAATGTATTGAACATCGATCTGTGACGTACCACTCTCTTGTTTATTTTTATATTTCATATATCATTTCTGATGAATTATGCTTCCTGCTGTTTTCTTTGCGGTATCGAATGAAAGCCAAACTAACTCATCTATCATTCCGATTTTTGCATCAACCTCCAAAACCTTTTCGAGTGGCTATCAAGGAAACAATGGTGAGTAGCTCGTACAAGATGAAGTTTGTGTGTCATCGATTATTTATCGATTTTATCTGTATTGTAAATGAATTAAGTTCTATGATATGAGTCTAGGGTATTGATTTTATGTGTTGTTGTGTTTGTCTGTTGTTGTGTGTGTTGTGTTGTGTGTGTTGTGTGTGTGTTGTGTTGTTTTTTTTTTTTTTTTGTGTGTTGTTTTGTCTGTTGTTTGTGTGTTGTGTGTGTTGTTGTTGTTGTTGTTGTGTTGTAGTGTGTTTATGCCGTGGGTGTGTTGTGTGTGTGGTGGCCGTGTGTGGGTCGTTGTTGTTGTAAGTTTTGAGTTTTTTGATTTTAGTACCTTCATCTATTTATTATGGGTAATTCTCCCCCCCAGCCGTTAGCTCACTCCCGACACTTTTATGCCTTTTTATTTTCAGCGCCCCATTGCAGTCCTTAAGGTGTGTGGTGCTCGGCGAGGAGATATGGGTGATTTTATAACCTGGTCCTGGGGAGCGCTGTGATGGTGTGTGTTGGTATGCTTGAGGCATTAAAGCATGAAAGCACCAGATTGTGTGACAAGTGAAATAAGACAGGTTGAAATGTGTATATGATAGTTGGTAAATAGTAATAGGGGTTTTAACGTGTAGTGGCAGGGGGATTGGTTTGGTGGTTTGTTTGTTGGTGAGGGTGTTTGTGTTTGCAAGGGGAGGTTGGCCGACGGATAGGGGGTTGTGTTGGTGATGTTGGTGGGTGGTAATAAAAAAACAGAGAGATGGACGGATATTTTTTGTTGTTGGTTGGAAGAATATAAGAAGGATGGAAGGACGTGATAGTGATGGGAAATGTCTAGTAAAGGGGGAGAAGGATGTCTCTCCCCTCATCTCCCTCTCCTTCCCGTCTCCCTCTCTGTTTTTTTTTCCACATCTTCATCCTGCTACATCTTTTTCGTCTTCTTCTTCTGTATGTTTATATTTCTTTTTTTATTGCGCCTTCTGATTCTCATGGTAAGAGAAGTCTGTATTTTTCTTCCATTCCTTGAAACTGGGCGCCTTTTTTTTTCTNATTGACAGGGCGAGATATAAATATACTGTTGGTACTTGTCAATGTCTCTAGGTATGTACATGTAGCCCTGTAAATACCATGTCCTTTTGTGTTATCTGTTGTTTTATGTTCATGTTGTAACCTACTTGCTGCCATGTTGGACAGGTCTCCCTTGAAAAAGAGATCGATGATCTCAATTGGAACAATCTGGTTGATTAAAGGTTTCCATTTTCTTTTCTTTTTTTTAAACTACGGTAGATTTCGTCAGTCTCACGACGGTATTGAGACATTTATTTACCGGGTATTCGATATATCGTTACATCCCTAGTTGTTACTGGTGGCTGAGGCTACGAATTGCTGTGAACTTGTATATTTATGGGTATTAGGCGTGTCCATATTGTGTACCTTGGCCTTGCCATCCAGAGCACCGGTGCCCGCGTAGATCTTACTGACGGAGTCGCCGTTTGCAGACCACATGGTTCTAAAAACCTCCTGGAACCTGGCCACCAGCTGGGGTTTCTCTGTCAGACCCATTTCCTCCAGCTGCTTTGGAAGCATCTGGGGAGGTGAGGAACAGGAAGTAATAACTATAAGCATGAACTCAGAAATATATGGATGTGACGGGAATCATGTGCTCAAAACAAAAGTCTCACCTCAAGGGCGAAGAAAGCCTGAACACTGTTGGTTCTGTCCAGACAGTCCAGGCAGTTTGTCCTCAGGGTCCCACCTTGAGTTCTACAAAGACATGTTCGAATGTTAAGAATCAAAAACTCCTTTATACTTAATTATACTTGTTTGTATTTATTTTCACCTTGCAATGCCCGTCTCTCCAGAGTAGTAGAAGAAGCCACACTCCTCTATGAACTTGCTGAGGTAGGGTTTCAGGACACTGTGCAGTTTGTCGGCCTTTCCCCCCTTCACATTTTGATGGTAGTCGAAGTTCACCATTTTCACCGCTGTTGCATGCTCTGATGCCTTCAGGTGACTCTGAGCGTGACAGAGAGAGGAGGAGGATTATCCGCTGAAATTCTAACTGAATGCAAAACTGTTGTGCGTGCAAGGCCTGTCCCAGCACGGACATGCATATTTTCTCTAACACAAAAGATGGACATTCAAAGAACTTTGACTCAAGTTTGCCATATATGAACAATATGTGAGGCATTTTTTAAAGTGCTTCCCACAGCTTAAGAAACATGATATGTTTTCGTATACAAAGTGAAAATTAAGTTTTGCTCTGCGCACTAGAGGAAACAAAATATTCCACTATGGCAAACCAGAACATTTCTTTAATAGTAATGCAAATATTTACTTTTTTAAGACAAATGCAGTTTCCTCTGTGGATTAGATTAAGCTTGGACTAATTCTGTATTGTTTGAAGCATCAGACAGGAAGTACACGTCAGTGTCAAAGGACGACAAATAGCTTCCCTCACCTGAAAAGCTTTGCTGAGCATGTGTTCCCCTTCCTTACTCCCAAGCAGGTTGATGATCACCTGTTTACCATACAACCTTCGCAGTGTGGTGAAGTGTCTGGACAAAACATAATATGCATTGTTAAGGTAAAGACAAGATCACAGACTAATAGTACACCTATTGCAGCATTTATCATAACACGTCAAAGTCTCCATGCTTGGTACCAATGGTATAGATAGATAAAAACACAATAAATAGCGCATCTCAACACCTGCTGAGCTACTGTACAGGCATGATGCTGTTAAGACTATGACATGTTGTGTTTTCAAACTGTTTTGTTTGATAAAGGAATGCAAATGACTTTAAATAAGATATGAAGACACATTAGAAATGGCAAGGATATAAGGATTCAAGCTTCCCTTTTGGAGTCAACAGTGAGTTATTATGTGCGAATATAATTACACGCATGAGTGGAATGAGTGCACAAAACAGTTTATTAGGGGGGGAAATAGTTTTGCAAAGTAGTAGAGACTAGTGGAAGGAACAAAAGAGGCACTTCAATAACCACAAGCCTCACCATCAAGTGTTAAGAATATTGCAGACATGGATTAAACATCAGCAGCATCCAGCAGCAAGAACATCAGACAAAGGCTACGAATACAGTGTTTCTAAAAATATGTTCTTGTTGGCCTTGTACTTTAATAGGCATTTTTAAGATAGACATAAACTGTAAGGCAGCCACTGCAAACAAGAAACAACTAGATATAGCAACCGATGAGTCATGAGTACAGATCTGGACAGATATTGAGAAAGACTGGCTGCATTGCCAACTATTTAGTGTGAGAAAAAAGACACATTTGCTGTAAGATACAACTGGTGCACCATCTGACAAGCTTGTCTTAACACGTTCAGCATGGCCGCTCGGAGAGGGAGGCTACAGAAAACAGATAAGGATGAAGCCAGACACGGGACAATCAAGGAGTGCCACGGTGATTAGAGAGATCATCTTCTAGCTAGAGAGCCTGAGTTTAGCCCAGTGACTGACGTCCCATCTGGCTGCATCAAACTAACCAATCTAAAGGGAGCTGTTATGTTGGTAACCCTGCATCTGCAATGTGTCTGTAGACAGGGAGAGCAACAACCATTTTACTGACCGCCTGGTCTCCAAAATGAACTTCCAGTTAAGACAAGATGAGTACCGTAATTTCCGGACTATAAGGCGCACCTGAATATAAGCCGCAGCAGCTAAATTGAATGATGTGTACATATATAAGCCGCACTGGACTATAAGCCGCAGGTGTTTTAATGTTTAATTACCATATGTAAGGGTTCGTGCACAGAGGGGATTGTCGGGAAAGAGATGGCTGTTTAAGGAAGCTCCCATTTATTAACATTTCAACAAACAAGTTGCATATTTGCATAACGTATTCAAGTGTTAGCATTTAGTGCAATAGTAGCTACAGAACATGTACTGTGCTGTGTAAACTGTACTGTATCACATAGCGTTTCAGACACACAAACTTTTCAACTTTCAAACTTAAACGGTGCGCTCCCAGCGCACGTACCGGCAGTGATCTACAGCAGCGGTTTTCAACCAGTGGTACGGGGACAAACTGTCTCGCTCTCGTAATGTCTGTCTGTCTTGCTCTCGTTCTGTCTCTCGTACCACTCTCGGTTCCACTTTTACTTTTGCGCGCTACCTGTCTCACTCTTTTCCGGCCTCCAGCTTTTCCTGCTGGAGCCCGCCGCTTAAAGGTGGGGGGCGCGGACCGGCCATAGAGCCCATAGAGTTAAAGGTGGTGGACTGTAACCTGTAAAATCCATAGATTTAGGAGGTCCCCTAGTGGCCGTTAGCTGTAAAAATCCATAGATTAGCCGCACCGTTATATAAACCGCAGGGTCGAAAAATGGGAAAAAAGGCGCGGCTTATAGTCCGAAAATTACGGTATCAAAGACTCATGTGTTAGCATAGCTCTTTGTCCAACATTCTAAGTAGAGCTTGGAGGCATAATAAATATGCAAAGAAACTGTCTGCAATACATATTAAATGCAGAGGGCGACAGCTGATCAAGGGCTACCAATTTGTCCTTTCTGTTCTCTGCAGTAAACCGGCTTCTGAGGACACACTTCAATAAACCTCTACCCCTTTAGGAGTCTGAATAGCCTCTCTCTGTTCTGCCCTGGGCACTGCTGCAGGAGATGTGGTGTTATGGTGTCTCCTCTGCCCCTCAGAGGAATAGAAATCACACACAAACACAATACACAGAACATTTTAATTACCTTTCGAATGCGGGCGCATTTGCCTCAAATCCTCTAGACAGTTTGACACGATGAGAGCCGACCTGCAGGTCAGAGACAGCAAGACAAGAAAGACACAAGTCACAGTGTCCTTTTTTATTTAATACACATTTTAAAAAAGGGACGTTGCAGAAACACACATGCTGCAGATAACCAGAAATCCTGGTGGTGAAAACCGAAGTTGGGATATACATTTTGAATGCAACATTTGGCCAACGTAGTGAAAAAGAAAAAAAAGAGTGTCGAACAACGACAGCAACACGGGGTCAGCGGAGGGAGATGTGTTCTTTCAGACACACTGAGCAGCAAAGAAATCCTGTTGCCTGTCAGCTTATTGGGTCTTTTTTGTTTTGCTTTTTCACCCATTTTAGCGTATATTTTCATTTTGCTTCCCTCAGTAGAAACACCAAAGAGCCTTACAGAGAAGTAAAGGCAGACATGAACACACCTTGACAGGTTGAGCATGACACAGAGGATTTGAAAAGGAAATGTACTCTCTGCACTGCAGGTCCCTACTTGTCCCCTACCCATCTCTGCCTTTGCATTACCATTCTCAATTTGTATCTTGCTTCTCTTCCTGTCTCTAATTGCTTGTCATCAACTCAATCAAATAAAATTGAATCACCCTCCAATTAGGGTTCTTCCTCTTCCGCTTCCTACTTGTCACTCAATTCAGGTCCCAAGCAAAACACATCCATTCTGCGTCAAACCAGTCAATGATCGTCACTACTGCGTGGTCTCCGGGGACATTAAGGGACAGCATTTCTGCATGTGTCCATTTTGGCTAGGCTTGTGTTTGCCAGTGCTAGACCTTTTGCTCCATGCTGCTGCCATTTTGTCACAACTTCCTTTCAATGCTGTTGTGCAAGCCTACCATGCATATTTAATAACTTCCTGAGATAACATCTGAAAGGACTCGGGTAACAGTTGTACACCTTAGAACAAAACCCATTCACATCCTACTCAAACTCTATAACATAACACCTGGAGTCTAACTGGTCCTCTTTAACTCACACTGATTGTATACTACTAAGATACATTTCAAAGTCACTTATGTCATGCCACCTACAAGAACATTAATCATGGAATATTCATCAGTTATTTGGACCTATAATTGGTTGAGACCTTTGAGTGCAGTTCTTAAAATCTAGTACTTTTTAAGTATAAAAAATATTTGCAAATACTGTTGATGCAACATGTGATCATTTTCCACTGATGACTGATTCACCTAATTGTGCTTTCCCGAAAGCAACCACAAACAATGATTAACTGAGATGTTATCATCAACCAGAAGTCTAACTACTAATCAGCTAAGAGGGCACAGCTCTACCACTTTACTGATTTACATCTTTCCCTGCCAGGCTTTATGACACTTCACTATCAGTTCTAATGTAAACTAAAGGTTTTTTTGTTCAAAAAAAGACCGACTGATCTTCATACAAAACTACCCATCCAGCCCAGAGAAGGAATTACAGAATATGGGGAGTGGGGAGAAAGTAAGCCGACAAAGACACAATCTGTCGAGGGGACTATGAGCTAAAATGGTGCTTTACAAGCAGGAGGACTGTTCTGTCTGAAAACAACCCCGAGCCCACAACCCTGTGTTTAAAGAAACCGTAGACCAGGGCTATTCAATTGGCGGCCGGGGTGATATTTACTGGCCCTTTGAGTAGAATGTTAAAAAGTAATCTACTTTTCTTTTTTTATTGTTTGTGCCAGAGTGCCTTTATTCCAGAGAGGGTGTTACATTGAGAGATAGAGGGGAAGACAATGCTTGAAAACTTTGGCGGGCTCGGGTTTCGAACCCACCTGCTAGCTACTTTAGTGACAAACTGTCATTTATTGCATCTCTGCTTGAATGATTAGATCATTTCACCTAAATTCAATCAAATGAAATGATGTTGATGGTTAAATGAGCTCCTACTGAGTTCTGAACTTGCCATTTAGATCTATAAAGGCCTTGGGGCTATGTTGTTTGATTTAATTAAACACAATATATGCACTCCACTAGGGCTGCTCAATTAATCGTATTTTAATCGCAATTACGATTATGGCTTGCAACGATTACGAAAACAACGTAATCGAAATAAAACGATTATTTTTTTATTATTACTTTTTAAGTAAAATGTGTTTTGTATTGGTTTTTCAGTTGAATTATACTTAAAGTTCAGGTTAATCAACTGTTTAAAACATACCGTTCACATTTTTTTTCTCCAATAAATGGATGTTTTCAAAGTAAATGAATAATCGTTTTTAATAATCGTGATATCAATTATTGACCCAAATAATCGAGATTATGATTTTTGCCATAATCGAGCAGCCCTACACTCCACTATGCTGTTGTAGTATTTACTGTATCTGAAGCTCATAATTATGATTGCTCATATTTCAAGCCATCTTTTTCTCGGCCCCTTGCTTTGGATCATTTTCATCAACCGGCCCCCATTCCAAACTAATTGAATAGCCCTGTAGACCTTGCTGAATAGAGCTTTCACAGTGACTTAGGGAAGTGGGAAGGGGATGTTTTCAGACCAGGCTTTCACCTGATCAAAGAAGTCTGAGAGCTGAGGAAAACAGAAAAGGGCCCTTTACCAACGAACCACTATATGTATCATAAACCTGCCCCACGTTAGATTTAAACCACCACTCTGTGCAATGTCAGGACAGGGGCAGGAGAATCCCACTGGTGTGGTTTAAGGTGTGCATCTGGTGGGTGATCTTAGTTCCTGCTTTAGTGTATGGGACCTGGATAAATGTATAAAATGGGATTCCCTTGGCTTTCACCCCTGGCTGTTGGCATTGCACAGAGAAAGTCCTATCTGCAGTATGAAAGCGCCAGCACCAGCAAGAGCAAAAAAAAGAAGATATACCAGGTGGGGGTTCTCATCCATTCCATTACGATGCCGATTCTCATTCAGTTGCAACAAAACACCCTTTATGGACTTTTTCTGAACATAGCATGGACAAAATGTGTTAAAACTACCGTAAAGATATCTCGTGTAATAACAACATGTGTTATTCTGTCACATTTGCTATATAACATTTTGTATTAATAAAAGTGTGAACAAACTCATGGAGGGTTCATTAGAGTTCAGTAGCAACACTTTGGCACTCACTGACACCGAGCCTTATCTACAACTGCAGCATACAAAATGGGCACAAGTTCAACATAAACATGAGGGCTGCTGCATGATTTTCATATGATGTCGCTTAATATATGAAAACCTCTTTTTAGGACAGGTTTAGTTTCCATTACCTGAATTCCTGGCTGTTCCCAGAAAAGAGGAATGGACCCACGGATCTGTATGAAGGATGATACTTTTTCATCCAGGAAAATAACCTGTTCAAAAGAAGAGGATCATTTGGTTAAGTTCATTTGCAGTGTGGCAAAGTACAGATGTCCATAAAACTCTAATTGTTTTATGACTTTTTATGACTGTAGACAATGTCATGTTTGGACAAGACAAAAAAGGAAATGTGAAGGAGAAATCATTTCATGTAGTGGATGCATGTTGTTGGTGATAAGCTGATATTTTCAAGGAAGAAATCACTAATCACCATGGGTCAAAGCTTTCAAGTGGTTGGCAAAAATAACCAGCATACCTAGTAATACAGTATATTCTAACATTAAAAAAAACTTTGTACCCAATACACAAACGAAGCTCGACATGTTAAATTTCTATTCAGACTTTAACTGAAAGACTTTGAAGGATCTGTTTGGTGGTTTTCGGGGATAGCAAATATTGGTGAAATTGTGCTACAGTTTATTATAATGTTAGTAGTTCCAGTTATTCTGTCCAACTGATAGCTTTGTGTTTGTGTTCTGAAACAGGAAGCATACAAAACGGTGAGTAATTTCAAAAAATGCGGAGCTGAAAAGTAACTTTGTTTATTAAAATATAGATGAGTCAACAAAAATTGTGCTGACCCAGCAATTAAAGCTAAATACTGACTGAAATGAAGTTTGCTAAATAAGGAACTTGAACTTCTGCAATGTCAAGAGCTTCAGACTGGAGCTTCACCATTAAATCAGTTTGCTGCGATTTCATTATCATAATGAATTTCCTCTTATGTTTGTAGGTAAACCGTGCACCTATAATTATTATTGTTGAACAATTTCCTTCCCCAGTGACAACACAATGTGCTGGAGCAATAGAGTATCGGTATGAAGCTGCACCAGGTTTTCTCCTTAACAGTCAATAGATAACCAGTGTTTAAACAGACTGTATTAACAAAAGCTCATGTGACCATTCACAGGGGCATATAGAAATGGATGCAGAAAGAATCAAAGGTCTGAGTCACCTGTTCTGTCTCCACAAAGTTGGCCACCTGTCCGTCGTCATTGGCTCCTCGGACGTTGAATCTGGTGCCGGCTCGCTCTGAGCTGAGGCGGGAGAAGATGCACGCTTTGGCCTGTTTGTGCCCCGCGTAGATGGTCCTGATCTCCACACCGCCACACATCAGCCTCAACAGCCAGTCGTCGCAGTTTACTCCGTAGTGTTTCAGGTGCAGGTGCAGAGATTGGTTCCTATGGATTAAATCAAGATAACACAACAGTTAACACACAAACCAATTCAGTGTGAACAGCGAATCTTCCCACGTTAGTTGCAAATCACACAGCCCCAATATCACACATTCAGAGGAAACAATTTCACCAGAAAGACTGCAGATTGCAGAAAGCATACTTAGTTCATACAGTATAATATTCCAGAGAGTGTTGGAGCCAAATACCTGACTGCTACTCTCATTATAACCTTTGAATAGTGGAAATGTCATGCTCTTACCAAAAGAAGCGGTTATCTGTTGTGTCCTCTAGGATCCTGCGATGTGCACTTAGACTCAGGTCCATGCTAACTCCGGAGGCAGACCAGGCAAAGTAGAAGTGTCCTGAGTTCAGGACCTTTCGCACTTCAGCAATCCGGTCCTCATCCGCTGGATCATTCTTCAGCGATATAAAGTCTGTCTGTGTGACCCTGAAAACCTCAGAATCCTGCACCTTCCCCACAGAGCTGCATCCTGTCACAACCACCAGACTGTGGAGCATGGAGTCACCTGCACACGTAAGGAGTAAGAAAAAGAGACATGAGAGTGAAGCAGAAGCAAGCAGTAAGTAGATAGATATGATTCCTTGCATTCAGGAATAATACATTATAGACATTAAGAGACTGGACAATAAAAGGTTTGAGTACACTTTGGTGTCAATCCTCGAACAAGGAAGTCACCAGCCAGTCAAATCTCAGCCATCTATAATCTTTTGTGTGGCTTTTTTCTTGTTGTGATAACAACAGCCTTCAAGGTCATGCAAAGGGCAGGACAAAGCAGCTTGAAAGGAGGCAGCAACATGACTACAAACCAGAGGAGCGTTCACAGTCACACAAGAACCTGGGGGTCACCAGAAATGTCTGCAGCGAGGATGCATGCGTAGAGAAGATGCGTCTGTAGCTTACCCAGGTTTAGGCGGAGGACGCCCAGGATGCCATAGGCATCAACAATCTTGGCGTATGTGTTTTTAATGGCATCCTTCTCTGCTGCAGCTAGAAGAAAAACAAAGGCAATACAATGTGAAGCAAGTATTGGTAGTGATCTCATTGTAATTTGTAAGTAAATGTAGCCTTTGACTTAATCATTGTACAATATCATGTCAATCACTTGGTAGTTAATGTCTCTAACAGCTGTGTTTCATCTCAAGAGTTTTGAGTATATACATTATCTCCCATTACAAAGCATTCAAACAGGATGTCTTACAAAGAACAGCAACGGCCCCCGATTCGAACATGAGGCATTCTTCTTTGCCTCTAGTTTCCACTATAACACTGTAGGGGGGTGGGTCCAGTTTGTGGTAAATGCGATATCCTTTGCTGAAGGCCATTGTTGATCCAAGATGAAAACACTTATTTTATGACCTGGAAACCCACAAAAAAGAATCATATCAGATCAGAGACATTACCAAGAAAACACAGCATCTGTCATTCAATAGCAACTGGAGCGTAAGATGGGCTATTGATTTTTGATGGAGAGGGTAGACTTATGATGTGACCATAGACCTTTTGCTTTTTGGGAAAAAATCGAATCATGATCATTTTGATTGCGTTTTCCTAAGCTAACGTTGGGATTTAAGCAAGTATTAAGGCGTTGCAACGTCGAAATACCAATACATGTACATCTCTTTGACTGCAGGTTATACAGGTGTTGTATTAATGAATGAAAGTATGCCCAACACACAACATACATCTAACGTATGATTAGGCAATGGCATTACAAATTGCCTGATTCAGAACTGCCATTACACAACCAGAAGCCTAACGTACAATCAAATATCGCCAAAGCCCAAACATATGACTAACTAATCTTTTAAAATGAATTTCGCTCGTAGCTGGAGATTATGATCAGCACTAACACTGTAAACGTTAGGCCGGTGGACTGAAACATCATCCATCCCGACACGGACAGTCACGACTTTACAAAGCAAATGCAGCAGGTTAAGCTAACGCTAACGTTTACCCTCCTGCTAGCTTTAACACTGACGCGCAAAACCAATTAAGAAAGCGAGATTGATAAACCGAGAGAGCTGTCTTTTACCTACCAACCGCTAGCTGGTAACGTTAGCTAAGTTAGCTACATTAATCACAGGGGTTGCTATGATTCGCTAGCTGACGATGTTAAAGATGGTACTACCTGTACGTCCGGGAGGATAGGCTGGCATTTACTCACACACACATATGAGCGACTCCGTGATTTAAGTATGCCTGTGTATATATTTTAATTTCGTTTTTTTTATTTTAGAATTCTGCGTTGGATTTAAATAACATAGGGAAAAGGCTGAGGATTTGGTCTTACCGTCTACCCCCGCCGGGTTGTTATTACGCTGTCACAACAGAATCCTTCCCGGTGTCTTGGCGAAAATGGTACATTCCGACGCAAAGCACGCCTACCTCACGTTACCGTAATACCAAGTGAAACTGTACCGTAAAAAAGTCGAAGGGCGCATTTAAGTCAATTACAAATGTTCCAAGTTGAATCAACTGAAAGTTCCTTAGGGCTATTTAAATACATGTTAGAAATGGTAAATATTGAATAAAATGCCCGTTACAGGAAGTCGGAAATGTTCCTGCCCGGTTTGGCTCACGACTGACAGGTTTACCGATCGAATGAACGCAGTCCCGAAAGAGTACTGTCCAATCATATGTGGTGAGGGGCGGGACTTAGGCGTTTCATAACAACGCCGTACTCTTCTGTATAAAACAAGAGCAGAGACTGACCTCGTAAACAGAATGTTTTGCAAGTGTTAATTGATAGATTAAAATATAAACCAGGCGCCTATCCAAAAGGTGAGATTTAAACTGCTTCTTCTTGTCATCATGTTAGACGCAAATAAGTTAAAGGCTAAACTGTTGTTGTCTTCTATTGTGTGTTGACCTAGCACTGCACATTTCGCTGCTTCACGGGAACAAACTGTGCAATACAGGGTTATCTTCCAATATTCTAGTTAACGATTCAAACGTTCAGATAATGTTGTGTTGATACATGTAGAGAAAACGTTCGTATCGATAGTTATGAAAAGGCAAACATAGAATAACAAATATAACATGTAGGCTACTACAATACTTCAAGTTCCACGTAGTCTTATGACTTGAATCAATTAGTTGTACTATTTTAAGGGGACTTAACTCATGTGTTTGCAAAGCACACTGTACTTTAATATAAAAAGGACAACAGAATAACAAATCAATATGTCATTTATACTTTAGAACTGTTTTAGAAATATGGTCATACGCTTCACATGATCTGCTTAGACATGCACAGTCAACCAGTATTTGTTACCTTATTATCTGTGTGTATGTTTATCTCTAAATGTGTTCTCTTGATTTATTTTCCAGGGAATATTGGTGCTCCTCAAAATGAAGGGTCTTTTCCTGGTGGAGCCTATTGTTGCACTGTACGCTTTCTCCAGTTTTCTCATCTATCCTCTTGTGCAGCAATATGTTTACCGGAGGCTCTGGCAGGAGCTGACAAACACAACCTATCCCGTCTCTGCCAATGCCTCCAGATGTGCAGAAAACAGCAGCGCCGGCAGCAACCATTCCAGCTTTCATGAGGTCAGTAACACACTAATAACTGGACATAACACAGGTGCATGCCACTCAAGATAAAAATGACATTCTCAATTATAAATACATTTTTTCTTTCGTTCCACTTAAGAAACACTAAAAAAGAATCCACTTATATTAACATTCCCAGCATCCACCTATGTTACATTTTCAGTGTAACAAGTACTGGATATTGCATTTATGTATACACAACCTTAACATGTGTTTTCCACCTCCTACATTGTAAGGCATGTGACGCTTACTCAAACATTGTTGTGTAAGGGTTTCTGCATATTGATGAAAGAAATGTCTTGCTTGCAAAAAAACAAGTCAGGCTTCATAAAGCTACCACAATGTATCTCTATCCATATTTGCAATAGTCAATTCTTCCAAAAGCTGCCGTTCTTATCCTTTTCTGTGTTGGACCCTTACTGTCACGACACTGCATAGCTTTTCCTATAAACCTTTCAGATCTTGCAACAAAATTCAGGTAAAAACAACTGATTCAGCTACTGTGCCATAAAGTGATATGACATGGAAACCTGTGACTAAAGTGACAATCTTATTAAATCATCAGAGTCCTTCCAGAGCACATAATCAGTCATCCATTTGCAGCTAAGATATACTGCAAAAGTAATCGAAAAAAAGCATTAATGATGGTGTATTCATAGAGTAAGAATGAAACCAGAGAAGTGAGAGCGAACACTGTTCTGGAAAAGCCTGTTTGTATTTTCTTGAAAAGCCCTTCCTGCACCTGTTGCACTGTAGATAGCTTTGTTCCTTTTGGTCCTTAATAAGAAAACCTCACATGATGCTGAAATCAGTCTGTGTTGGTTTCATGACATTTCATTGTCACTTACTGTCATCAAATTGAAATGCACACAGTTCAGACTCAGCCCATACATTTCGGACACAACCATGCTCTCTCTTTTCTGTGTTTTCAGGAGGTACAGAGGCAGGCATCTCTCTTCTCCCTCTACACAAATCTCTTCTCTGCAGTCCCCTCCTTGGTGGTCACCCTCATGCTTGTGGCCTACAGCGACCGGGGAGGACGCAAGATCACAATCATCACGCCTTTGATTGGCACGTTGCTCTACACCTTGTCCTTCCTGGCGGTATCCTACTTCGAGCTCAACATTTACTTCATCATTGGCTCATCGATTCTCAGCTCTCTGTTTGGCGGCTTGGGCACATTTCTGGGGGGCTGTTTCGCCTACATAGCGGACTTGTGTGAGGATGGTAGTCGCAAAACCCTGCGCATGGCTGGAGTGGACATGATGATTGGCCTGTTGTCGGGGGTGGCCTCGATATCAACAGGCTACTTTCTGAAAGCTGCAGGCTTTAATTGGCCATTCTTAACCTCTGCGTTGGTTCAGTGTTTTGTCCTACTCTATGCCATTTTCATCCTTGAAGAGACTGTGAAAAAGGCTCCCACTGATGCCATTCTCCTAGATGGGTCTCCTCAGGGCTCTGCGGTGAAACAGCTGATCTACGGTATCTACCACATGTTTGCAGGGGCCAGCAGCAGGAGTAGAACTCTCTTGGTCCTCCTGATACTCATTTTCACCAGCTTCTCCTTCGCCTACGTGGGTGGTCTCTCCTTGATGACACTATATGAGCTGAATCAGCCACTGTGCTGGACAGAGATTATGATTGGCTACGGCTCAGCTCTGTCCATGTCTGTGTTCCTGACCAGTTTTTTGGGAGTGTCTGCGTTCACGTACTGTGGAGTGCCACAACTGGTCATCATCCTGATGGGGATCCTGTCTGTCGAATCAGGCATGGTCCTGTTGGCCTTTACCAAGACCACCTTCATGATGTATATAGGTGAGACGAAATTCTGTAACAACTATTCTGCGGAAACCAATAATGTGTAATCGTTTTTAATGTAATGTTTAGTTTGAAAAAACATCACCAAAGCCTTGACTGTCAGCTGTTTACAAAGTTTAAAACCTTCACCTTGTTTAGTTTTTGCATGTAAAAATGTGCATTGACATTACAGCCAACAGAATCTGCCTTTCACACCAGCTTTACAAGGTGTAGAAATATTTAACCACAGTGAAATATGAATTGACATTAGTTAGTGAAGTTTGTATTTTAGCATTTGATGTGGTTATAGTAAAGTCTCTGCATTATGATGTTTAACCGAGAGTATTTTTCTTATTTTTCTTTCACAGTGTGGGTACCAATGTTTCTATCTATCATGCCTTTCCCTGTTATTCGTTCCATGTTATCCAAGATCGTCTCAAAGTCTGAGCAAGGTGAGTAGAATCAGGGCTTTTGCAAGAGCCACAGAAGCGTGCCTGAGTTTTTGTTTGTAGAGTCAGAGTCCATTGAAGAGTTGCTTGTTCAAGCAACTTCAAAATGCACTCCAAAACATAACACTCCGACTTTCTGTTCCTTCAAGGCAAACTTAATTTTGGAGCTAAAGTGTGATTTCAGAAATGTCGTGTCTTTTGTCACCTTATCACTTCTCTTCTCTCCGCGGTGTGTTTTTGCAGGAGCCCTGTTTGCCTGTCTTTCCTTCCTGGAGAGTTTAACTAACAATATATCGGGCGCAGTCTTCAACAGCATCTATGCTGCTACGGTGGCATGGTACCCTGGCTTCGTCTTCATGTTGGCTGCAGTGCTCTGTGCTATCCCTCTGTTTATTTTAGGGTAAGTACATATTGCCAAATTAAACAAAACCACATTAAATATCCTACTTTTGCGAGTTTTACTACAAAGAGCAAATACAGTTTCATGATTGAAGCATACAACCATACTTCAAAATGGTTGTCAGAGAGCATTCTACCAAACATAATAACAGAGCAGTACACTTTATGCTGTGCATAGAGCATTAGAGCTGTACTCTGTGTGGATTGAGTTACATTACAAATGACCTATTTTGTGCTGAGTCACTCACTGCCTGTTTTGCTTGACTAAAAAAAAGAGACATGCCATCCCTGATTTAGGCACCCGCAAAGAAATCGGTTCCTCATTCTTGCAACATTCAACTTCCCTTATTGAACTGTTTCCCTCTTCACATAGTAATATAGATATCTGAGATTCATGCTGTCTTATTATATATAAATCAAGTTCTTAAAGATCTGCGGTACCCTGAGTTCTTACATTTGTTTTGCGACAGTGAGTTGGCATAATAGTGCTGCTGCTGCTGAGTCAGTTTAGGAGCGTGAAACCTAAAACTCCTCGAGTGCTCTGTCTGTCACGTGCACTGTTCCTTCTGTAACATGGCTGAGTAGTTATAGAATAACACAGCCACTGGTTCAGCAAACTCAGACGTACAGCCAAGGACAACATGGGCTTCACACCCTGACTTTGGCAGGTGAAAACAATTGTTGAAAGTGTCTCTAACTCAGGCAAGTGGATGCGGATGTACGGAGAAAAGCTACGTTGAGAAGAAAGTGTAGTTTTAATTCGTAGTAAGTTGATGAATCCCATGCTTTTCTGCCTCTAATCACGCTTTTTTTTCTGTGTTTCAGAGTGGTTGCAATAATAGGAGTGAATGCTGCCGAAGAGGTCACAAAGCCAGAGCCTGTCTACTCAGAGGAGGAGGAGGGTCTTTCTGAAGATCACAACGACAGGACTGCTATTCTTACCTGAGCCATATCCGCCAAAACCTCATGAGCACTTTTTACTTTAGTCATCTACTTTTCAGTGTTTTACCTCAAGGGCTGTTGATCTCAGTTTTAATGGACAATGCAGGTTACATATTATTCTTATTTTGTTTTTATTGCTTTGGTTGATTGTGCTATTGAAGTTCAATATTATAGGAAAATGAAGTAGGTAGTTGTATGCAAACAGGTTCTACCGGAAAATCATATTTTTAAAATATGAAATATCAACATTTTGAATTGGATCAAAATGGTAGCATACAGTACATAGGATATAAAACACGGATATTAGAGTGGACCTATCGTGCTATATTTGAATAATATAGTGTAGGACCATACCTACATAAGGCTTATTTATACTTTTTATTTCTCAAAATACCAAACAGATCATGCATTTTAGCCATTCCTCATTTCGCTCAATTTAACACTGTCTTTGCATGGGCTGATTCTGTGAGAACAGCACCATCTACAGGCCTGGCATATGTACTACAGCGTCTACAGCGCTTTCGAACGGCAATGTCCGTGGCTGTCTCCTCCTGATTGGTGGAGTTGGCCCAATAGCCGTAGCGCCACTTCTGTGACGTCACAGAAGTGTTCAAATCTGGATCAGTCTGTATCAGATCCGTTGCAGCCTTTTTAAGAGATTTGGGTATGGAGGAAAATAGAGAGGGTTGTGTTTTCTGACACTTGGTGAGTTCCCTGGAACACCGGGGACACATATTCATATACAAAAGTGCATTTTGCATGATAGGTCACCTTGCATGCATCCAAAAGCTCAAAATGGCCTGACTGTGACACTGCTAATGCTTTCAAAATGTATGTGTTTTGATACAGTTTAGCAGTGCGATATGATTTGCCATTTAAAAGTTTCAGTTATGTGAAGTGATTCAGATCACCTTTTGTCTTAAAGTCTCTCCTCCATTGGCTGTTATAGTGCAATGTTAGTAAATGCCCTTACAAAGAGCTCCACTGTCCCTGTTCCTCAAAGGTAATTAAATGCAAGACACTAATTATACAATATCACAGAAATCTAGAATATTATATAATGTTATGTAAACCAATGTTTTAGTATACATGTGAATAAACAATCTCAAGCAACCCCCAAAAGGAGGAAGGGGGGTTAATGGGGAACAAGGAGTCTGTTCTTTTTAAGAAGTTAATGGTCTCTATTCAAAACTTGTTATGATTGTCCTCGAACAATCAAATTCCTCATAATAGGAAATTACAATATTTAAAAAGGAATCATTGGGTTTACTTAGCCAGGATGAAGGATATAATTAAATATAACATGGAAAATGGTATTGGTTTTATCAAATGTGACTGGAATATGTTATTTCTATGTGTCCACCCTGAACTCTGCCTTATTGAGGAAGCTATAACAGGATGGAAATGGAGGAATGGTTTAAAATAGACCAGCCAGCAGGAGGTGTTGTGGTTTTGAATCTCAATTAAAAAATGTGTATCATTGAAAATAAAGGGATCCAGTTTGAGTATTTGTATGATTTTGAGTTTATTAAAAAGTGCAAAAAAGAAACCCCAAAAATATATCATGTTCATTTATGTAAAAGTAGCTTTGTGTCAAAACTGTTTGAAAAAAAATAAAAGAAATGAAGTGTTTTTAAAATTAAGTATCCAATGACTTCCTCTAACACTTTTGGAGATGTATGTGATGTGTCATCGTCGAGTACTTGCTAAATGTATTAGCAAAGAACAGCCGTAAAAATATCACTTTCTTATCATGTGTAATGTTTGGACAATAAACACCAATAATACAAATAAAATAAAACCTTTTTAGACAAGAATGAATACAAAAGCTGTCCATAATCAAAGACTAATTTCAAAGGCCACCCCAAATATTCACTCAGAGAATATCAGGTCATTCTGATGCAGAGTTGCTCCTATATGAGCTATCGCCCCTCTATGTTCATCCGACAATTGTCCATTCCGATGTACAGTTTCAAAATAAAAGATCTTTGAAGTCTCATATAATAGCTATCGTCTCTCTATTTTTAGATAAGAATAAATAAAAAACTGTCCATAATTAAAGACTCATTTAGCTTCAGGGTGATAACATGCCACCCCAAATATTCATTCTGATGTAGAGTTTCAAAGTCAAATATATTTTAAGTCTCATGAAAGGAAGTCTAAACACAAAGTTAGTCTCATTATCTGCACTCAATTATAGTGAATACTTTAAGCAACTGTTTTTAAATACAATTATGTTTTAGAGCCAGACACAATTGTTTTTAATATACAGCCCAACATGTTCTACCAGAGTGGGGATCTGAACCCTCTTCTCACAACGATCTGGTTATGCTCCATGCTTTAACCACTGAGCTATACAGCAGTTTAAACAGGCAGGATTGATTTGGAACCAGTGGATTACATGAGCTTTTGTCCCTCGGAGGTGAGGGGTGTCCCCTTTATTTAATAATAATAATAATAATAATAATTATTATTATTATTAATTATTTGCATTTTATTGTATTATTATGTAATTATTTGTTCAGGTTCCTTGGAGGTGTTGCGGGTGTCTCCCTCAGGCAGGCCAGCCTACTCTGTACTCTTATACAGCAATATTTTCAAATGTGAAGTGAGTGGAAATCTGTCTGATTTATTTGAATGTTGTGACTTGTTGATTTTTGTCTGAATACACTATTTGTTCTCCTATCAGGTGTGCATTTCTTTTGATAGCTATGGCCATACCCTTGAGCCATACACCCAAGTTTATAATTTCTGTAACTTGTACTTTTCTGTTTTTAAAGGGAACTTCAACAGATCATATCATATACAGAATTGACTTTGTACAAAACAGCAGACTCGGTCTCATGCACCATCAACATTTAAAATGAAATCTAGTATAGTTAAAGACTCATAACCATGCATTCACTCTTCATCAGACTCTTCAAGCAAAGCTTTCTGGGAGCTCGTTTTCGAGGATGTATTTCGCATTCCAATCTCAATGTCTCGTCCCTTTCCTGAGAATCGCTTCACTGTGCTGTTGGGAAAAGAAAAATAAGACGTAACAAACATAGAAACACACTTTTGCAGCATATTCAGAGTTAACAATAGTGTTGATATATTAATTTCAACTGTTTTTACAAGCGGTTTCTTCTACATTTCCAAAATGTACTTGGAAGACCACAACCAAAATTATCCTTTTGACCACTATTGCTGCTGCAGATCCATTTTAGATTGTATGTTTGCATCCCCTGTTCTACCAGCGTGTGCACAAGAAAGCACAATCGTGTACAAAGATGGTAATGTGATAAACAGGGCTGTGAACGTATTAAAGCACAATTAAAAGGAAAAGGAAAACCTCATGTGAACAAATCAGGTTTAAAAGCAACTGCTAATCTTGAAGGCCTAAGCATGTGACACACACCTTTTACCCAGTCTTAATGATGCCGTGCATTATGAGAAGTTGAATGTTGACTGTAAATAAAACCATGTTGACTCACTATAAGAACTTCACAGGGTTCCTTAAAGTGCAGGTTCAGAGATCAGAAGATTCAACAAAAAAATCTCTACTGAAGAAATGGAAAGAGACGATTCTTAAATATGTTGATATACAGTATCAGTTCGCGTAAAAGCTCCGAAACAGGAGGTTTGTTTGGATTTCAACATTAATAAAATCTCAGTTTTTTTTTTTTTATCACTGGCAACGGTCTTTATGTGAAAATTAAGCAACCTTTGCTCCAGGCTAGTATCACTGAAAACGACTTTAAGAGACTGATTATAAAAAGGCAACAAGTATAACCATCTTTTGTTTTGGCTGATTGTCTCTGCATTGACAGGCCGACAAACTCATAACTGCTGCATTTCCATAGTTGTTTAGTTTGCTACCGTTGACTTACCCTCGAAAGTTTCACTTCTAAAACTTGTACAGGTAAAAGGATAATGTGATACTTACAACCAAACGAAAGAAGAGGTGCAAGCGACTAAAAGAAGGGCCACAGCTAAATGCCAGCAGAAGCACATTGTGATGAACATGATGTTGTCGTGCATCTTCAAGTCCCACTCCGGCCCCCTCAATGGGTAAAGTACAAACCCAATCTGAAATGACAAATAGTTACATCAAGTAGCCTGTGATGCATAATAAAAACATCAGTTGAATTAATAGGCATTTACAAAAAAAAGACATGTCAGAAAAGGAAACAGTGTGATAGAAGAAAATCTCTTACAATTGAAGTCTCCATAAATAGACCTGGAGAAAACTAATTCTGCTCTGAAAAGTGTACAGAAATGTTTCAAATCTTGTCTGGAATATGAAATACCACAATTTCTTCTATACAAGTTTTAGTAAATGGGAATGCACGGATCCAACTTTTTTCAGTCCTTATACCGATTCATCGGCAGACATCAGAGTATCAATCTGATACCAGAATGAAATTGATAAACTGTTACTACTGTATGTGAAAGAGACAGGGATCCTTCGGTTATGTGTAAGGTCCTCAGACTTGATTTAAACATTTCTAGCTTTGTAAAAAGAAAAGTAAAAAATATACATATATCTTTAAACCATCACCCAGTGTGTCAATGACACATGTTCTAGCTATTTGAGACTGTATCAAACTGTTTTCAGTGCATCAATAGAAGGAGATTTAAAGAAAACCTGCTTTAGTCTTCCTTGTTTCACTATTAAGTACAGTGTATTGAGTACTTTGTCACTGTGTGGTACCACTTGGTAGTGCCTCTGAAAGCCTAAGAAAGGGTAATGGGTATATTCACACTGTGGCCAACACATCACAACATTATAAGTTTATCATGTCGCTAATCACCTGGTAGAACCATGAGCCCTGCAGGATGAACATGCATGCCCCGAACAGCTCCAAAACAATGTTGTCTTTTATGAACACCTCCACCATGAAGCAGGCAGATCCAATAAAGACAGCAACGAGCAGCAGGGTGTGGATGTGAGCGTCCAGAGGGGGGCGCATGTGGACGTGGTAGTAGAACAGAAACCCTGGATGATATGGGAGAGTCAAATGTTACTTAAATACAGTACAAGCAAGCGTGAAATTTAACTAAATTTGGAGAGTCAAATGTTACTTAAATACAGTACAAGCAAGCGTGACATTTAACTAAATTTGGAGAGTCAAATGTCACTTAAATACAGTACAAGCAAGCGTAAAATTTAACTAAATTTGGAGAGTCAAATGTTACTTAAATACAGTACAAGCAAGCGGGAAATTAGTAGGAAAATGTCACACTATAACCTAGCTTACCTTCAACAAAAAGAGCCAATGACAGAGAAAGGTGGTCAACACCAACCGGCACCAGTTTGGATGCAGTCTTGGCGACAATTGCTATTCCAGAGATCCCAAAGAACAGATACATTGTGCCATGCTGCCAGTTCATCAGCTTGACCCATGACTGGTTCGCTGTGTCGTAGAGGTGAGCATGTGGACCGTCCACCACAAACTGTTCAACCATAATACCTGGGACAGGTCAAAGAGACGGGTCAAGAACACGCTTAGATTGTTTGAAGTGTACAGATGATTGACAGAAAAACTGACCTACAAATGCACCAAATATTAGACATCCTCCCTCCAAGTAGTGCATCCGTTTAGAGAAAGGGGGCATAATCTGTCTTCCTTTGGGCTGACTTGTCCTCCAGTAGTGTTGGAGAATGTATTTCACCGTTAGCCAGAAGCCAAGGAGCAGGAAAAAAGCGCCGGGAATGGCATGTCCTCCAAAGTTGGCCATTGTTAGGCCTGGAAACAGAAGAAAAATACATCTGTAGTTATCAATTGGATATATTTGATGAAAACACAATTTATTATTTTAGCTAAAAGCTCTTTTTTCTTTGTGCAACCCCAATTTAGAGATTAAAGTCCAAACCTTTAGCGTCATTTTATGGTGTTTATACAAGCATTGCAGTGGAAAGGGGACGAGGAAGTGCAGCTGATGACATAAGATCACTACGTGGTAGATTGGAAGTACATTTCATTATATATTTGTATAACAGATCAATGAATACAGTGCAAACCATCACTTGTAAAACATTACTGGTGAATTTCATGTGATATTAATTAATATTAATACATTCTAAATCGGCAAAGCTCATATACTATTCTATACTCAGCGTATAGAATATGCCCTTTGATCCAGAGGAGAGCCCCTCATTTGTCTTTCAAAAAACATATTCAAATGTAACAGTGTGTTTTTTAAATGAAGTTTTTGGAAAAACGTAACCTTATTTGAATCGAAATTGATCACACTCACTATCACTGTAGTGGATTTAAACAATGTAAAAGCTGAGTGTGCATTTAATATAATTACTGTGAATTAAAACTGAGACACACTTTTGTAGAATAATCACATTTTGTTGTGTTTGTGGCTGAATCAAGGCTTTTAAAGTTGACTTGCTCTTGTTGCCATGTCAATTGGCATTAGTGTGTGTAGCATGTTTAGTTTGAAAAGTTTTTTTTGGCCTGCCCTGTTCTATGGGCTCAGAACAATCTCATAATACACACATGCACACAGAAGTATTAAAACTTGTATTTCATGATCCGCAAAAGGATTCACACTTGTGTTTTTCAATGTTCAATGTTGGACCAGATGCAAATTCACATGACACATGTCTCCCTTCCTTTTACACTTTCTAAATTCTTACAGATATTTTCTGCAGCCAATAAAATGTATGTGAGACTGAAAAAAAAAAATACAATTAACTCAAATATCATATCTGTAGTCTTCACTCTATTGTCTTCCACTCATTGATAACAGTCCCTAATTACTCAAAGTAAAAATATATGTAAAAAAAATATCCAACAGAATGGACAAACCTTATTTCCTGCCCAAAATTCCAGAAAAAGGCTCTGCAAATCTTTGAGTCGTGGCAGCAGTTTGATTAGAGTGAGATCACTCTAGTGTAAAGTGTGTGCACCTGTTGTCAGCACTCTAACCTGTGTTGACATCACATAGCCCCACCCACATTTGCATAAGTTTCTGTCAGCAAGAGACATCCTCCAGGGAAACTGCTGTGACATTCAGACAGAAAAACAAAAGCTAAAGATCATGTTGTATATTTAGGTATGAGCTCATAGATAAAATATGATGCAGCAAATAAACACAAAATCAAATATGTTAAGAACAAATTGTGTCATTTATTTCTTTAACATGCGTCAGTCTAAAACAGGTATGCCAGAACTAATCCATAGTTTAGTTAATACATAAGCTCAGCTACAGTCTGTGTGCAGATGGAGAGGCAGGGGTGTTAGCCTGCTAAAATGTACTTTGCACCCACTCATGACAAAAGTTTATTGCCGTCATTATCTTGTTAAAATGATCATTCATCAGATGACTCAACAAAATTCTACTTTAATTACGAAATGGAAAAAAACGAATCATTAAAGCTTAACTTGAATTGCCACATTTAAATAATGTACACTGCATTTTAGACATGTTCCCTGCACATGTGGAGCTTATAGTATAGTACAGAATATTTTCTTTTCTCGGAACGGGTTCTCAGCAGAAGCTAATGGAGTCACCAGGGGGTCTTCTTTGGCATGAGCATCACAATATGCCATCAGATCAGCTGCTGCTTTGGATATCTGTACAGAAAGGTTGGGTTAGTGTGTTTGTGTTGAAAAAAGTAGAGGAGAAGAGAGGATACAAATATATTTTGAATTCATTTATTCGATTTGAATTTAAACCACACTTAAAAGACACCATTATTTTTGCATCATTCAAAATAATACAACTGAGAGTGGAGTTTAATCATTGGAATTTAATATTGGTAAAGTTATATCTGTCGAACAAGTTTTTTTTCACAATTCAAAGCTATTTCTAATCTTTTATCATTGGCTGTGTGTACTTCTACAATGTGCGGACTCACCATCATCCTCTCTATGTTGACCTCCAGTTTCAGTTGTTCGACCGTCTTTCTAGCATCTGCAATCTTGGCCATGTTGTTGGACATCCTGCACCTTTCCCAATAAAGTTATCCAACCTGTTGCAAACCAAAAAAATGTTGAGTTATCACACGAGAAATAAAAGTTTGCATCACCAGTTTTTTTTTAAATACAACACTTCAAAGTGCTTTGACATATTTGTGACTACGTCATGAAGGTGTGCCATGGATAGAGTCTGTTTCAATTTGCTCGTTAATTCTGCTCCCTGGGTCTCAGCTGCAAGTGGCACAGGGAGGGTCTCAAGGGAGGAGGGCATGGGGGGCCTGGGGCATCCACTAACTGAAAATGTAAATACACCTGACATTCACATTAACTTGTTGCTTTCAGGTTTAACGCACTGTAGATCTAAAAAAGTTGTTATTTGTGCTATTAATCTGCTTCTTATGCGTTTCTCAGGTGCTGCCATAGACTGATGGAAGATATCACTTTTGTTGCACCGATTACAAATAAAGAAATTAAAAGCATCCAGGACCAAAACAATTACTCTCTGAGCGTTAAATGTACTTACAATTTGTTTAATAATACAATTCATACTTGTGAATTTTGTTTGTTAGAGCAGCACACATGCAGAGGTATGCAGACATATCTGGTGTTTTTCCCATAACTCTGTACAAGAATAGACACTTTTCAAGATATTTTCTATTATTATAATACCAAACAAGGACAACATCACTCACCGAAAGACAGAAAAAGAGTAAGCGCTGGGACAGAAATCCGCTTGTCTTTGATGGGGGTCCTCCGCAGAAACTAACAGTAACACATGGAGTGAGATTAATGGCAAAGATGGGGAGGAAGGCTTCAACAGCTTCCCTCCTTCACATTACTGTTGTTCTGCCCCCAGGATGGGCTCAGTGCAGCAGTTAAAGGCAACATGTGGCGTGACCTTCATCTCTAGAGTCTCTATCACTCGCTTACCTGAGATGACAGAGTAGCTTTTGTTGTGAGATAGAACATTTAAACTGCCTTAACATGGATACGATTTAAATAGCTAATATTTATTATAAAAAAATGAAAAGAAAAACAACTTACTTAAGGCATTAGACTTAATAGGAAAGCCCTTAAGGGAATTGGGTTGTTTTCATGTGTTTAATTGATTTTTAAATGTTTAAGTCAATTCTAAGGCAAACATCAAACCTGTAGTACTTTGGAATATGGCACAATTCAGTGTTACAATACATAGTGGGAGTCTAGAGATGTCATAAACATAAATATAAGTTTAGTCTGACCTCAGGGTGAGCAGTGCCCCTTGGGACACACCTGCAATTTTCTCTGACAAGGTAAGCATTGTGCAGATTTACAGTAAAACAGTACTGACTCACATGTCACAGTTATTTTGGTGTTTGAAGAGGTTCCTATTAAGCTTGACATAAACAATCTTTAAAGCTGCAATGTATATGACGTGCATTTTACTTTCAAATTTTCAAATTATCACCAGAATTAGAAGTCGTTACAATGTTGAATATACCTCAGAGTCCTGGTTAAGAAAACCCAACATTTTCGAGGTAAATTATTCAGTTTATGTCAAAATGTGACTACTCTCAGACAGCAGAATTATTTGTCTCGTGCCTTTCCTCTACGAGGCATTCATTTCCCCCCGTAGAGCTGACAGTTATTCCACACATCAGCAGGGGGCAAAGAGGCAGTGCTAGGGAGCTAAATGTCAAGTGCCTCATTAACATTTGTTTCCCTGTAGTAATTGGTCTCTCACAGTGGATGATAGCCTACTGGACCATATGAGAAGAAAGAGATGTTGCTTGAACTTACCAACCTCTGACACCATTGCCAAGGGCCAAAAAGATTATTTGCACAGTGTGATGTTGCATAATCCAAGCAGGGGATGTACCGATTATGTGGTCCTGCTTTGTAAAAACGTAATACTGTTAGCTACGCAAGCCAACCAGAATGTCTCCTCATACATATGTTGTTAATTTATGACAGACGCTTCATGATAAGATCAATGAAACCAAAGGGGAGAGAAGAGTGTCTGTCGGCTATATATCCCATTACCACTTACTGTTTTGACCAACTCCTATTTTCAAGTAAACATTTAAAAAACATCTGTTTTTGGAAAGTTTATATTTTTTCTGAAGACTATATATACCCTCTTGTGTAAACCATTTTGCAAAAACTCACCAGGTAAAGCTGTAATTTCAACATAGAGAAGAACAGGAGCCGATACAGCAGGTCATAAAAAAGAGTCAGCAATGTGCAGGATTTGGCCAACTGAGACAACCACACGTTTTTGTAACATGTTTTGGTGCATTAAAATAGCCCAAAACATGTTTTTCTTTTAAGAGATCTGTGTCCCAGTGTCAAAAAACTGTAAAGGTGGCAATTGCACATATTTCGTATTGACACTACAGCTAGCCCAATCTATTATTTTCAATATAGAGCCCTTGTTGCTGTTTATTTTGCTCCACCTTAGGCATACTGGTAGCAAACCAGTCTTTCTAGTCTTGTTCCTGCTGTATTGACAGCCTCGATTTATTTTGTAATATGGCCTGGAAAAGTCAGATAAAATCATTTCTTTTGTTTTTAAAGACAAAAACTTAATTTCACCTGGACTCTGTAACCTTGTCTATTATTATTATTATTATTATTATTATTATTTTACTACAAATGTGTAGTGGATTTCATTTTATTTCCTTATTCAGCCTTTAAGTCTTCCATATAGATTTGCAGAGTAGCCTACATGCAATTTGCTATGTCAATATATTAGGCTACCTGCACAGCAATTAATTTGTAAACTAAACAATAATACACACACTGTTTTATCACTTAAGTGGCATCACATCCTCCCTACATTATAGATAAGGATATAAAGGGCTCTTGATATCATATTTGTAAAAGAGGCAGCTTGAAATAATAGTAAAACAGAACTGATGTAGCTAGCTGAGGTTCAGAGAAGCACCCACCCAGTGTTGAACCACCATGAGGTGGGCGTGTACCAGCAGTGCTAGCTAATATTACAATGAAAAAATACAGTCTATGGATAAAACACATTAGTGACTACAGTAAGCTTCATGTTCTCTTCAGACTGTTTCTGATATAGCTTAGACTTATGCGTTAGGAGTCTTTACATTAAAGCCTAGCATGTTAGATTCATGGTTAATCTTTCAGTAACTAACAGCTCAGACACAGACAGCGGTGATTCAGCGTGCTGCTAGCTAGACAGAAAACCCTTCAAAGGCTCAACACCGATAACAGTCATTGATGTTAACGTCCATCGTCTGATGTATATCGTTGTCGGGTCTCGCCATTGTTTTATTTACTGCTGGGCTTCGATCTACCGAGATGTATGGGATGTCGGGATGACAGGAAGATGGCAAACGGGGTTGGAAGTGAGTAACGTTGGTAAATAGCAGCATGCCTAGCAGATGTCATGCTATCCGCTAGCGGTGAGTGTCGGTCTGTTGATGCTATCTCCACTGACTTCCTGTACTCCAGCCTCCGCTCTCTGCAGGGAAAGCTGATTAATGTCTGCCACTACACTGTTGACAGCTTTGTTTACACTAATGGTCGGTCCTGTTAACACCAACAGTGTAAACGACATGCTTTTTGCGGGCTATTTCCACGCAGTTGTGTGTGTCAACTGCTGGGCATGTTGGTATCATGAGACAATGAAGCCAAGCTCAAAAGAACAATAATGGTGTTCATACCAGGCCTGAAAAGACTGCAGACAATCAGTTGAATATGAACTATAACACGTTTTTTTCCTTTTTCTCTGCAGAACACAAGCTGCTAGTCATTGAACCATCCGAGCCATGGTCAGTGAGGGAGAAGCTGTGTTTGGCCACATCTGTCATGAAGAGTGGAGACCAGAACTGGTACTAATCTATTTTTGCCACGAAGATCTAAAAACTGGTGCCAATGATGATAATCCTTGCTGTGTGTTAATGCACTATGACATTCATTTATTGGAGTAGCCACATGATTCTGGAGTAAAGAAAATCTGAATAAAATACCATATTTTTACCTGTGGCTTTTAGACTTATGGCTTTTACAAAGTGTGCAGACATTTTGAGTGGTTGTTAGTAGAAACGTTTGAGAACTAGTGGTCTATGATATAGCAACACAGGGGAAACCGTAGTTACACGGTGTAAAAAGTGTTTCGGAGACGGCCTTCAAGTAACGTACAAAACATGAAAGGCTGTATATGTATATCTTAATGGTTCAGTAATCATTACATTACATTACATGTAATTTGTTAGACACTTTTATCCAAAGCGATTTACATACATTCAGTACTGTGGACAATCCCCACAGGAGCAATTTGGGGTGAAGTGTCTTGCCCAGGGACACAACGCTTTGTGCTGACTGCAGTGGGACTCAAACTTGCTATTCCCTGATTCGAAGTCCAGCACACTACCCACTCAGCCACAGCCTCCCTTAATTTAAACGTTCCTTATTTTAATGGAAATTACCTTACAGATTAGATATTGTCAATACGAGAGGCTCTGTCGTTATCATTGTTGCCCCTTGTCCTTATGATTGTGGTTTTTGTGCTTCCATAGACAATGCATATTAAATGAATTTACTATAGCTAAGCATGTAGTTGTTTAGCTGTCTACCTTTAATAGACGGGCATATTGTCCACATTGTGATTTTTTTTTTACTGATACTGCAATAAACTGGGACAGAAATAATAAGTAGCCTTTTCTATAGGCTAGTGTTTGGTGTGCTTTTCATCTTGACTGTCTTACAAAATGTCTCCACCACAACAGGGTGTCTGTCAGTCGAGCCATCAAACCATTTGCAGAACCCGGGCGCCCACCTGACTGGTTCTCTCAAAAGGTGTGACAAATTCGGAGCACAGTGACCAAATTGCAGTAAATGCAAATAATTTGCCACATTACATTTTTTCCTGTCTCTTGATGCTCCTTGGTCTCTTCACAGCACTGTGCCTCAAAGTACTCTGAGCTCCTGGAATCAACAGAGGCCCCAAAGTTAGTGCATAACTTACTTTTCCCTCTAGCATGCTTTTGTAGACCTGCAAGCTAGGATTAATAACATAGCTCTATACTGTTTGACCAATGCATTGACAGAAAATAATGTCTTTGACTAATACTGCATTTGTTACCTTCAGGCGTAAGCGTGGTGAGAGAGGTGAAGTGGTGGAGACAGTGGAGGACGTGATAGTACGCAGACTGACAGCTGACAGGATTGATGCACTTAAAAAGTTGATAAAGGAAACACAGGAGAAGCACAGGTACAAAATCCTTAAAGCGCATAAACACATCGTTGTGAAAGAGAGTTGCTGCATGATAATTGGCGTCAATGAGATTGGTTAAAATGGTGCTATTTTCACAGGAAGCTGAAGAGAGAGGCTGAACTGGTTAAAACAGGACACCTAGATTCCAAACTACAAGAGTTATGGGAAGAAATTCTGCAGTAAGAAGCAACACACTTTCTTATTGTCCTGTATTCACTGAATCAGCACATCTGTTTTGAAATTACACTAACAAGCAAAATCAATTATCTTTTGTGCATCTGTCAGGAAGCAGAAACTGGAGGAAGAGGAAGCAGATTTGAAAAGAAAAAACACAAATGCTGCTTATCAAGGTATTTCATTCACTTTAAGGGGTACATAATGTGTTTGTTATTAACTTGGTAAACTCATAACATGCTAACGTTAGCATGTTAGTGTGACAAAATGCATTGTGCATGTAGTATGTAAGCATCATAACTCACAGTATATATCTCACAGTAGGCAGATGGGAATTTGGGAGCATTAGTATTTTTTATCAAGTGAAACATTTGAGGTGCTAGAGAGTTTCCAAAGTCAGGAACCAAACACTTTTAAAAACAGATATCTGTACCAAATTGCATATCAGTCTGACCAATAGTCAAGTTCTGCACTAACAACTTTAGATCAGTTGGGTAGTCTTGGCATATTTTTCCTGTGGGGAAAAAAAAAGCATTTGAACATCAGTTTTTGTATTGACTGATAAGATCTGCCCCTCCCTCTTCCAGACAGACAGGTGGCAAAGAACACACCAAAGCGATTACCCGCCGTCACCATGCACCCGCCCTCAGGTTGCAGCTCCCCGAGCCAGGAGTTCTCCCCAGGTGACGCGTTTGAGTGCTCCACCCTAGATCCTGGATCAACAAAAAATGTAAGTCACTAAAGGTTAAAACATTTCAGGTTGTTCCTACTTTTTCATAATCCTGCAGGGAACATAAAAACGCTGGTGTTTGTATCTTTAAATTCAGAATCAGGTTTATTACCAGGTAGGTTGACACGTACAAGGAATCTGACTTGATGTCATGGTGCATACATGAAAGTAAAAAAAAAATGTAAAACCCAGATAGAGAACTAGAAAAATATAGAAATGGAATGGAATAAAAAGGAATATAATATATTCAAGCTGGGTTGCGCCTACCTACATGTTTAGATTTGCTGAATTATTTAATCTGTTTTTCTTATTGTAAAAGCCAGTAACCTTGTGCTATGGACATCATTAAAATACAACTATATTTCAGAAAGCTTCCTTCCATCAAAGACACATTATCAGAGTTGAACAATTAAAAGCATTCCTCAATTGGTATGTAAATGTAACATCTAGTTTCCCTCTCTCTAGGCTTCAGGATCTTCCAGATTAATGACAATTGCTGAGACTTGTGGACCCGATAATGAGGACATCAGCCATGGGTCATTTCTGGACGACCCCACCCAAAAGAAGGCCCTGGTCCAGAAAACTACACCCCCACCATCTCCACTCCTGTCCGAGTTACTGAAGAAAGGCAGTATCTTGGCCACAAATTCCAGACTGGTATGTGGATGGGACTTACTAAACCAGTATTAAACCAACATTGCCAAGCTTTGTAATTAACGGTCTTTTTTTTTTTTTTTTTTATCTCATTTTTCAAAGGATTGTTTGCATTCAGCAAGTATTAATGAATACATTTTTGCCATTATGTGTTCTGGTTTTGGTTGCTGTGGTGTTTTTTTGCTGATTGTATAAAGATTTTAGTCATTTTTGCATATGTTTTGCATTGTAATGGGTTGGATTTTATGACACCTTCTTAATCTGGGAAAATCTATTGTCCTTTTCTTTTACTTCCGAGTTTCATTGGTTGCATTTCTTACAACCGTCTTCATTTAACTGCTCTCCTTTTGAATGGCGTTCAGATGTTGTCTTGATGGAAATAAAATGTATTATTTGACGGATAAAACATCACTACTTTTTTTTGCATCTGATTTAATCATTGTTTGTGTGAAGTTCAATAGTAAAAGTACTTTTTTTTGTTTTGTCAAGCCTTTTGTCGTATCAGAGGTAGGGCATTTTTTTAAATGTCCATTTGTATGAAGCCTACTCTCTTATTTCCTCTCTTGAAATCCCAACATGTCAGAAGAAGTTTATATTTGACTAGATCTTTACCTTGAAACATTCCTTTTGTACCTTCCTTTTTATAGTCAAATTATAGAAATTTCACAAAGGCATTTGGCTTTATATCTGTGTATAAATATATGATCTACTGTATATAAAACCTACTTTAACATAAATTATTCTGTGTGAGTTTGTTTTTTAATTGCAGGCAGTAACATAAATAATAATACTTTATGTACAGGAAAACTAGCAAAGTGTTTGACATGCATGTCTGCGTTTATATCCCAGATTGGGGATGGTGATGCTGGAAATCTGACGGGAACACACGACTTGCAGCAGGCTCCGGCTAGTCAACCTATCTCTCAAGCTACAGGTACAGAGGCTGTGTTTATTTGTGATTTTATTAACACTGATAAAGAGGAACTCCAGGGCAAAGTGAAACAAACATCTTACAAAGTGACTGAAATAAGTCAATTACAATCAAGGCAATATTAAGTAGAACCAAAAACCCTTTTTTTAACATAGCTTTATATGAACCCTTATGTTGTGTTCGGGTCTCCCCTGACCCGTTTCAAGTTCAAATTATATAATAACTACACTCTAGTTTTTTTTAAGGCTTCATGATATCATCCACAACAGCTATATAAACACTACAAAACTGATTTTGACAATTTTAGCCAAGTCTGAGTATAATTTGGTATATCATTTGACCCAGCAGAATTGTTGTGGCCCAATCAAGATTCCTCTTTGACTTTAGACGCCCCTCCCCCACCCCCTTCATCCATTGTAACAATAATTTTTTGCAACATGCACCTGGTCTCCCCTCCCTCTGCACCCCTCCCCCCACGGGAACTCAACCTTTCTCAAAGAACATGTACACTAACACTTGAACCTGAACACACACATGCACGTGTGCTGTGTAATGTGTTTTGGGCCATAACATTAAATGACAACAGGATTGTACGGTTATGAATGCATAATAAGTTAGTTATGATGTAGTTAAAACAATATTGGATGATAGTCGTTTTTGTGTGTGTTTTGGACTGAAATAAATCATGGGTCAAAATGTACCCGCAGCACCATGAACGGTAACAGCTTTTGAACACAACACAAGGATTAATAGTTCCACTAGCAAGGAGGAAAACAGAGCAGCGAAAAGACAAACGGCCTAAAGAAATATGTATGCAGGAATATGCTATCCAAATGTTGTAATAACTAGACCAACTAACACTATACCACTTTCTCTGTCTGAAAAACGTCATTATCACTAACTCCATACAGAAATGAATGAGAGCAAAAAATATGACAACAGCGACCTCTTGTGAGCAACTGTTGTATTGCCACAGACGTTTTAATACAACATTAACCCTTCAGCAAAACCTCCACATGGCATAAAGAGGGGAAATGGATGTTATAGCATTCATCTTTTTTACATCTTTGCAATTAAATACAACATTTAACATAACACAAGGTGTCTTTACTTTGAATTTGAATGTACCTGCTGTCACTCAGATATCATGCATAATTAATTGAGTGATTAAATGTTAATGTACTTTATGCGTCACACTTTTTATTCACAATTAAGTGTTATTCAAAAGTCTTGCCAATATCTGTATGCCTTTGCTTGTAATAATATGTACAGGAAATCAAACATATAAAGATGACTCTGATCACCCCCCACTTTGGCTTTGACTGTACCTTTGTTAAGTTTGAAGTAGAATACCTTTGAATGTGAGACTTGTGACACCCTGTAGCGTTCATTCTGCATTGTGTTATTACATTTTCACTTTCGCATTTACAGCACCTTCATTGTCGGGACACACTGACACATCGTAAGTGAAAAGAGCTTCTGTCTCTGCAGCAAGGAGGCGGGTGTCAGTGGAAGAGTCGTTCTGCTGGTTGTCTGAGTCACAAATGACCTGTATCAAATACATCAGAACTTTAGAGGAGTTGTGCAACTTGTGCACTTTGGATGTGTCATGGATGAAAGATTTGAAGAGAGACCTGCTCCTTTAGTTCCATTGTATCCTGTTGGGGTTGAATAGGAAAGTGCATCATGTGCTCAGTGTGATGTGATGCAGTCATGTCTGTGATGCAATAAGAAAACACAGATTATCCATTATCGTCAGAAGAAATCTCATCCATGGTATTATTTTTGAGGCGTTGTTATTGTACATATTAAGAAAAGCAGAACAGTTAATTGAATCATGAAAGTGAGCATGTTAGGAAAGTTATTTAGCAGCTATGCCTGTGGAAGCATAACACTGAATGATATGCATTCTAATTCAGTGTTTGGGGAAGAATTCAGATCCTTCGCAGAATTAAAAGTAAGAAATGTTACACTGTAAAAAAAAGTTTGTAAAAGCCCTGAATTGAAAAAAAGTACATAAAGCAAAAGTAAGTAGAATCAGAAAAAGATTCTTAAAGTATTAAATAAAGAAAAAATAGAAAAAGCAGAAAAAATAAAAACCACTACAAATTAATATTATTCAAGATACATTTAATAATCTCAATGATATATCTCAATTGGCAAATGTAATGATCTTGTCGTCATTTAGCTGTTACTATATAAACTATAACTGCTTATTTATTACAAATAATCTTATTCATCTTGTTTTTTTAATGGTTAAAATCTTCCCAAATAAGTAAAGTCACTAAAGCTGTATATGTAGATGTAGTGTTGAGAACGTACATGTGGTATGGAAGTGACATGAAAAGAAAAATATTTAAGTAAAGTACCTTAAATTAGAACTTTAGTAAAAATACTAGAGTAGATGTACTTGGTTACTTCCCACCACTGCTATCATTACATTTCATTACATGTCACTTGTTAGAAGCTTTTATCCAAAGCAACTTACATACTCAATACTGTGGGCAATCCCCACAGGAGCAATTGGGGTGAAGTGTCTCAGGGACACAACGACATGCTGACTGCAGTTAGCATAGCTCTTTGTCCAACATTCTAAGTAGAAGCAGAACTATCCCTTTTAAAATATGGGTTTACTCAGAAAA